AAATGAAAATAATAAAAAAGAATAGAATAGAATGAAGACAATAAATAAAGAATTGATAATAAACTTACAGAAATTGATAATAAATAAATGTAAATATTTATAAATTTCAATTAAAATTCAATTTTAATTAATAAATATAATGAATAATAAAATCAATATACGATAAAATTATGTAATAATATCCTTTATAAATACATTATAATACAATAGTATTTAATCCTACAAAATAACTTTGTTGATTGAATGTTTTATTTATATTAAAAGAATGAAATAAACTAAAGTTTATTTAAAAAAAAACTATTTAACTTAACTTTCAACTTGAATATTAAGTCGTTGTAAAAGATGTTTTGAATATGAAACTCTTCTTAACGATGAAACATTTGGAAGAATATTTTGTTCAATAAATTTAGAGCGTTGGTCATCATCCATTACTTCGACTAGTGTTTGAATAACATAATTAGCATAAGGATCTTTCATTAATTTGAGAAGCATTTCATTATCTTTTTTAGAACAAATTTCATCAATAAAATTATCACGTTGAGCTGAAGTACAACAATGAACACATTTTTCTACAACATTACTCGAATATTTTTTCATTGAATACTCACAGAATTTACCTTTCATTTCTGAAATAACTAAATTATGTTGTTGTTGATTTCCATTTTCTAAAAGATGTTGAATAACATAATTACCATATTGATTAACAGCTAAATCCCAAATATTATTTTTTAATTCTGATGTAATAACATTTTGTATTAATGGTTCTTTACGTTCAATTAATTTTTGAACAACACGACAACCATATGCATGTTTACTAAATGATATTATATAACCACTAATTTCATTAGCAATAAGTGATGAATATGTTGATGGCATAAATTCTATAAATTTTTGAATTACATGATTTCCATTTTGGTCTTCAACAAATTCAACGATATGTCCTTTAATTTCTTCAGCAATAATTCCTAATTCTTCTCCACTAATAAATTCACAAGCTTTTTGAATAACACGACAACCGTATGTGTGAAGAGATAATTCAACAACATGTCCTTTAATTATTTCCATAAATTGATGTTTATGTTCAATAGTACCATATTCAATTAATTTTTGAATTACATAATTCCCAAATAAATCAGTCATTAATTCAAATGAATCTTTAATAATAAATTCAAATAATTCTTCTATTTCATTTGGTTGTGCTGTGTCTAAAAATTGTTGAATTCTTCTACTTCCTTGTTGATCCTTACATAAATCAGCTACAGTATGAGATTTAGGCATTACAGTTGATAAAATATTTGATTGTTTAGGGCTTTTATAGTATTTACCTTGAATGTTTGGAATTGGTTTTTTATATGCTGGAGGAGTATTAATTAATGTTTGAACACGTGGAGATGCACGTAAATTACAAACTCCAGGTGAATGACTTTCAATTGGAATAGTTGTTGTTTTAGTACTTGGTGAATTTATTTGTTTAATTGAAGGAGAGTTATTCCATTGATCAAATGACTGAGTTAAAAATGAATAACTTGCTGATTCTGGTGTGATGAATGGTGCTAAAAAATCATTTTGCATAGGAACAGAAAATGCACGTTCAAAATGACTTCCAATATCTTCTGGTTTACCATTTAGTGCATCATTTCCTGGTGCATCAATTTCATCTCCTGGCATTCCAAAATACAATGAAGAATCAAGTCCATCCTTACCAAAGTCATCTTCATCATCCAAAAGTCTTGATAATAATGAATTTGTGCTCTGTTGCATTCAATGAAATTTTTATTTTTTTTAGTTTTTTTTTATTTTACTTATTTTTTGTTATAAAAAATTGTTAATAAAAATTTGTTAGTAGAAGAAATGAATAAAAAAACAGTATCAATAAACTTTATTAAAATAATTCTACAACTTCTTATTTTAAAATTTATAAAAATAATTTGTATGTATTAACCTTTATTAAGAATAGTAAAGAATGTCTTCAAATATTTGTTGTTTATACTTTAAAACTGGAGAAAAAGAAAGTTGTTATAAGAAAAACTAAAAAATCCTTTAAATAATTATATTAGTTGAAATAACTTGAAATAAAGAATTTTTGTTTACAAACAAATAAAGACATAACTTAAACTAATTAAGTATTGTTTTAAAAAGGATAAAAAAAAAATTGAATTGTAAAAAGGGACAAACTAATAACCATAAGTGAAATAAGGAAATTTAAAAATAATTAGATTCATAACTGTTTCTTTTTAAAAATATTCCAATAAAAAGAATATTTTTGAAATTTCTATTTTTGTTAATAGATTCTTAACTCTGCGATTTTTTTCTCGCACAGATGTTCTTAAAATATTAGATGTAAAAAAAAAATTTATTTTTTATTTAACAGAGTATTGAAGTTTATAGTCAAAATAAAAACTTATTATTACATCTTTGCTTAATTTCATTAAAGATGTAACTAAACTTAGAAATAGACAATTAATAAATTATTGATAGATAAACTCAAAAGAAGTAAAAAAAAGAATTATTAAATCAAAGTCAAATATATTTTGTATGACTGTCTATAAATTAAAATTAAAATCTAATACAATTAAATATTAAAAATAAAAATTATAAGAAAATGATACTATTTGATTTAAATTCATTTTACTCTATTTTTGTAATTAAAAAGAAATTTTTTATTATGAATTGAAGAATAAAAATGGAATAACAATAATGTTATTCAAAAATAAACGATATAAATAAAATTTATAATTCCCTTTGAAATAATAATGGATGGTTATGAGAATTAACTTTTTTTACACCAAAAAATACTTTATATTACATTGGAACAATTTTTATTATTTATATTTATTTAAAAATAAAGATAAACTAACTTTTCTTTAAACAATTAGTTTTATAAATAATTCAATGTAAGATATATTCCTCTTTCTAATAAACATTACCATTTCAAAGTATAAAAAACAAGAAATATTTATTGTGTATTATAAACTTTTTACAATAATTTTAAAGAAAAATATCAAATTATCTAAAAAAGAATCAAAATAAGTTAATTAATCTTCTGTTTTCTTGAAAAACAAATTTAATAAATTTTGCTATTCAATCAAAACATTCAAATTTACATATCAATTTGAATACTCAAAAATTTATTGTGTAGATGGTACAGCCTCATCCCAAGCACCACTAACTTCACTACAAAAATAAATATCTATATAATTCTTCTATTTTTAAAGAATGAAGAAATTAAACAAACGTTTTTAATGACTGGATTTTTAACCAAAATTTAGGTCCTACATAAGTACCAAGAGAAACACAGAATAAATAAA